CTTTGACGTAGAACGACATAGGTCTCCCCTTAAGGCCCCACTATGCAACAAGGAAAATCGTTTTAGGAATTAATTTTGAGAAAATTATATAGCGTTAAGAAGGGCATATTAAAATTCTCCAGTTTATTTACAACAAAATCCTCTTCTGAGTGCAATTTTTCATACAATTTGATAAAAAATCATAGTATTTTATCATTTAATGATACAAGTATCATATGAAAGAATTTCAGCATGATACCAAATTGTGGTTTGTCACGCTATATGTTCGTTATATAAGGATGTATTAAAGAGAAAAGGAGCATCTCTTACTGGTGTTAAAAAATCTAAGCATTTTAACAGGTGAGAAACATACTTCAGTGTCATAATTTTATTGATACATGTAATACATGAATGATAATCGAGTTTATAATAAAAATATATCATACATGTAGATAATATATATAATATAGTATGTAAATATTATCTACAGAAGTTTACAATAATTTTTGAGTTTTCAATAATTATTGTAAATTATTATTTACAATAATTATAGATAATTTTAAACTTTATCATATTTATCTACATGCAGGAAATGCATTTCAGTCCTTAAGTGTTACTTTTTTTTGATTATGATAAAAATAGCATGCAGACCCTAGTATTTTTTGTGGAATTGAGTTCAATCCTTAGCATCATAACTACTGAGAAGGTATCACCACGGCAAGGTCTGAAGTCCTTCAGAGAGGACTATGACAGTATCGCCAAAACATGTGTGGCTGTTGGATATGTAAAAGACAACTGTAAACACAACTCGGATAAAAGTAAGTTTAAACGAATTATATCTTACATAAAATGTATTTTGCCTATGTTTTCAACACTGTTATAATTTTTCGATCAATATGTTTTCTTAGGAAATATGGTTATCGCATTCAATGCTAAAACCAAAGGAGGTGTCCAAACAGTAAATAAGGGGAGGACTGTAATCTTTGCAGAAGTTAGTCTAAATATAGGAAGAGGGTTAAAAGCCGACAAAGGGATTTTTATCGCCCCGATTTCGGGTGTGTGCGTCTTTGACTGGACAACGATGACGAACACCAATAAATACGCCCACACCGCTCTGTATGTTAATGGTAAAATAAAGGAGACCAACCATTGTCAAAATAACAACCACTCCATCCAAATGGTATGCAGTAAAATGGCTGTCGTTAGAATGGAAACAGGAGACGAGGCTTCTATTAAATGTTTTTATGGAACATCGTCTATTTACAACTATTACTCGTCTTTCTCTGGTTTCATGTTGTAATTATGAAAAACAAAATAAATAAAGATGACTGAGTCAATATTATTTATCTTCCAATATCTTCTAGTCAAGTCAATTAATATAAACTAAATTAATATATATCTTTCAGGTAGTAGTGAATAACTTGATTGTTTTTGTCATCATTAAAGATCAGACAACACGTTCGTCAATTATATGTTCTGTATCTCTTCGTATTATATAAAAAATATTCATATATGTCATTCTTTTCTGATTTCTATATTGTTTTCAAAATGTTTTTAAGTATAAGTACACCAAAAATGGTGATATAAGCCATTCAGAAGATTATCCATAAGGGTTATATAAGAAATATGACCTGTGGTATCTTGTCCAAATGCCTGGTAAGGTACCCTTATTTTTTGTGAGGAATCTTATTTAAGTACCTATTCTTCAATGACAGATTCTTAGGAAAAATTATATATTTTTGAGGAACGTGTCGTCTGACCTTAAGCTATCTAGATTGTGACGTACTTACAATATAATTTTGTTTCTGAATAAATCAAAGAAAAATTCGAAACAAACCGTCACGTCACTATGCAGGTCATCAACTGGGATTCAAATTTAGATTTAGTAAAAAAAAAAGGTACATCAATGTTGGAAAAAATGATATTTTCATATACTGATATTTTAAAGTTGAAAATGTTAATTTCCATTCTTAAGTTGATTTGATATTTATTTGAACAAAAGAGAAAGGACACCACAGAGTTTGGCACATCTATTTATGTTACTGTTAAATATTTTAACAGAAAAAAGATTGTTTATTAATGACAAACTATAGTTTATCGTAATTTCATCTTCTCTACCCTGAAGTTTCTTGGTTATGTTGCAATATACAATTATACTTCTATATGGAGTACATGTCTCTCAGGTGATTCAATATGCAATTTAATCTTCTATGTACGTATAATTTCTGCAACTGAAAAGCGACTGACAAAAAAATTGAAGATACATGGATATCAAAAGAATCGGTAAGGTCAATATTACGCGAATTCTATAGGCGATACAATTATATCCAATGTTGACCGATGTAATTTTTGTTTACAAATTGTAATATATTTTTGAATCATTAGAATAATCATCGCCATTATTTGAAACATCGAAACTACGGGTTATTCCTGATTGCCTGATTATGGCGAGGAGCACACGTCGAATGCAACTGGTCGACAGGGAAGGCTTACTTTTTTCATATCTACCGATTTTACCAGTATGATGTTGAAGAGGTCTGCATTTGCTCTGCTCAAAACTGTATTGTTCCAACGGACTCTTGAGAGTGATGTTAAAGATGTTAAAGTTAGTTATTATATTGTTTTTATATTCGTAAGAAATCAAAACACTGTTTAAAGCTGATGAAACCTTGCATATACGAATTTTATATATCTTTTAAAACCATTTATCATTGATTATAATTTAAAGCATTGCCATATTTGAAACTCACAGAGGATTCCTAATTGAAAAAAATTACCACAATGTGTTTCACTTTTTTTTTCACTCATATGGACAAGCCACCACTTGCCGATTTAAAGCTGTAAATTTTATCCTATACTCGGCATTTAGGTCCGAACACCGGTCCTTCGGATGAGACCGTGTAAACTGAGGTCCCGTGTAGCAGTAGGACTGCTGACATGAAAAAGATCCCTCCCTGCTCAATAGTCCTAAATGCCGAGTATAGGATAAAATGTACAGCTTTCCACGTCCCACAACGTAATGTTCATGCATCTTCTTACTTCGCGACTCTAGAGCAGACGCTCTAACCACTGCGCCACGCGGGCAACGAAACGAGATCAATGCCTATCTATGATATCTTAATAGTTTATATAATGCATTTGATATGAGTGCATATGATATGCCAAATGGCCAATTAAGTGAGCGGTCTGTGTTTTCTAAACAAATCATCTTTGGAGCCGGTAAGATTGGAATAAAATTAAGTAAATTTGAAAAATGGGAAATTTTGTGACCTTTCGGAGATCGACGTGTATCATATTACTCATACGAAAACAAAGTTTGATAGAAGTCTCTGGAATAACTACAAGTTTTTTAGTATAAGTATGCATTAATTATTTTGTTTTACGGAGGAATGCACACCAAAAATTTATTCAATAGATCTTTATGTCATCCATTTTTAACAATGGTTTCAGCACAGAAATACCATAATTACATGTAGCTCATAATTATCTTTTAAGATTTTTTTTTTATTTTTTTTTTAGAGAAAATGAAAAAAAGAAAATATAGTGCTTGAAAGTTTAAAATTTACTGTAAATAAATATCTCCATAAAATGAATGTCTGATGAAATATGTAAAAAAAAGTTTGTTAGACTTTTAATCTTTTTTCTGGATGTAAAACTATTTATGAAAATAAAACACATTATTTTTGATTTTTTTCATATTATAATTACAAACTCCACAAAACTAGTCACAGCTAGTGAGCCCATTTTTGTCAACTGTAGCTTAAAGAAAAATTGAAATGAAATTGCGAAATTTGAAGAAAAATAATTTTTTACCTAATTGGACCACCCCGATAAAAATTTCACTTATCCCGATCAAAATTAACACAAAACGAATGGAATACTACTAACAGGGAAAATTTCGCCCCCGTTTTATTTTCACCCTTCTACCCTTTAAATAGGTGGGCGAATCGGTACACAAATGGTGCAAATTAAAAGAAAACACAATTTGATTTATTTGAAAAACTGTTGCTGAGCGAATTTTAATCTGGGCAAAATTGTTTGCAAGTGTGGAAGGGCGAATAAACACGGTGCGAAAATGACCCTGTTTATAGTAATAAATTGTTGCCTCCTTCTTGTATTTACAGTTAAAGAAAAACTATTTGATTGTCAAGTTCAATTTTTTTGTAACCCATAGTACATCTTATCGAATTATTATTCTTGGTAAACTGTTATTTATTTCCAATATAAAACAATACTGGTTAGGATCAGTTTAATTTCGATCGGGATTGGACAAAATTAAAAACATTTATTTAATTTCAATTTCTTTTTGAAATATGATTAACTAACATATGTTCTCCCTATTTTTGATTGGTTTTGTGAAGATTTTAACCATGGGTTTAAAAAATATTCACAACCAATGTGGTTTTTTTTGCATAAATTATTTTTAGTAATAAGGTTTATATGACTTTATTTTATAAGATATTCATATGATGCAGCCATTCATATAAAATATATATGGAGATAAGGAAGAGTAATCAAGATCAAAAGTCCATAAAACAATACAAAAAATGAGCAATGAAAACACGGACCTCCGAAACATCGGAGTCGGGATCAGGTGCCAATGAGAACTTAGCATTCCGTGCCAACCGCTCACACATTAAATTGTTAGCTCTTGATCATAATCCATTTTTTCTTCATTACCTAGAAAGAAAATGCAAAAAATCAGAAAAAAACAAAAGCTAATATCTGCCGTTCAATGCTGAAGCTGTAATTTAATAGGGTTTTCTTAAAGATCTATGAAATAAAATTTGGGTGTGGCATTCCTTCCTTGAGAGATGGCCAAAACAGTATCAAATCTTGGACTTTTAGTCTATGTTGCACTTCCCTTTTATGACAAAAGTACGATATTTATATGAAATGAATTATTAAAGATAAAAATAAAAACACCAAATGTGACATAAGAAAATAAGATGAAAAAGACAAAAATATATCAAAACTAGCCAAATTAGGGAAAAATCAAATTTAATCTAAATTAATATTATACAATTTTCCTGACATTTCCGTAAATATCAGAGAATACGCCATGTAAAATCTGTTTGTCCGTACATTTGACAATTTTAATTTCGTTTTCTATGTAGCAGGTGCACATAATAGTGGTGCATGTAAATGAATTAAAAATTACCTTTCCCTGAATACATGCACTTCATGTTCAACAAAACAAATTGGAGAGTTTTAAAAAGAAGCAAAGAGATTTTCCAGGCCATATCCATCCTTTCGAGATCTTCACTAAAATTAATTTTGAAATTTAATTTTGGCTAAATAAATTAATTTTTGTTGATAGTTCAGATCACCAGACATTTAAAGCTGCTAATACGTAATTGCAGAGGGAAAAATCTATTTAGGCACTATACTGTTAAACATTATATTCATTATTTTGTTACATAACTCAATTACCTAGTATAATAAAAACACAATTTATAATATTTCTGTAGGACTTGGACATGCTGGAAGGATCTTGAATAAATTAAATAATCTCTCCATTGTGAATGCGTTTTTAAGAATACATTTGACTTCTGTTAGTTTCATTGCAAGAAAGGTTAAAAGGACGCTCTAAGAAGAAAAGAAATATATCTTTTAAGGATATACGATCCTCAGCCAGGAAGGATAACTCCAAAAATTAATATTTAATTTAAAAAGCATCAATATGAGGCTTGGAAATGAAAACTTTTCATGCAAGACTTTTCATCTTATTCATCTTTATATGATTCGAGGTTTGTGCAAGTCTTAGAAAAGGTTTTATAAAAAGCTGACATTTGTACCCCATAAAAGGAAGAAAATAAATACAGTTTTAGAGAAGTAAGATTTTCTAGAATCGAGCCCTAATTACTAATGCTTATCAGCATGATGTCAAATTAAAAGTAATTTGTGATGTCCTGCAATGATAGCAAAAACCTTTTACACTATGTATTATATAATACATTTAGGAAATAGAAGACATAGAATATCAAATAAGTATAAAAGTCATGACAATTTCTCTGAATGCCTGGATACCTATTGTTTTTTTTTAACCTAAAATATATTTGTTGATCAATTTGCAATTAGAAATTGCATAGCTGACATTTTTGAATATATATTGGAGACTCGACAATTTTCCCTATATAATATGATTAACTTTAATGTTTAAATTAAAAAAATACTGTGGGTAAATTTACATTACTTTGTGGATTCAGAGATATTTTTGTGAATATTTTCGATTACTTAACTGCTCATTTTATGAACCTGAGAATCGGACTATCTTAAGGAACTTTTAGAAAATTAAACAACGCTAAGAAGTACATATTAAGATTTAATAGTTTATTATCAACATGATGTTTTCATGAGTTTATATTATCAAATTTTAGTAGTATTTTTATCATTATATAGGTATCGTATAATATGATTGCAATATGTTACCAAATTATAGTATATCACGCTATGTTCGTTTTATATAGATAAATGGAAAGTGGCATCTTCTACTAATCTCAAATCTAAGGTACTAAAACAGGTGAGAAAACATACTTCTGTCTAGTTATTTTGCTGATAATAACTTAAGAACCCTCTCTACACTGCACACTAAAGAGTTCTAATTGTAAGGAATTTTTCTGCAGTTGGAGTGATCTGCCCTTAGATCTAAATTCTAAAAATAGAAATTTACAATGTATTACTCAATTTGTAATTAATTTGAGTATTCTGAACATTTTAAAAGGCCAAGATAAATTAACTAAACCTGTTATTTACATGTATTTTCTCTATTGAAGCAATTAACAACGATTTCTATTCAGTGATACTGTGTTGTATTTGAACATTTTTCCCGGGGGTAAATGCCACGCACCATACTGTAAAAATTAAATTAAAAAGCTCACTATTAACTCCTTTATACAACATAATTTTCACAATGTCCAAAAAAAATTGTGCACTTGTGTAGAGAGGGTCCTTAAGGATAATGTTTTGTTGATAATAACTAAAGGATGACCTAATAGTTTCCTTGATAATAACTAAAGGATAACTTAATATTAATAAAAACATAGGTGCTTAGCTATCTGTAGCGGATTGAAATAAACATAGCGCCACAACAACAAAAAAGTAAAATCTATATAATTGTACTTTATCCTAAATAAGATAAATGAATTTCCAATATAATAGCATAAAGCTTTTATATTATTAAAATTAGAACGAAAATAACACGAAAAAAATTAAAGATTGATGTAAAACTATTTAGAGCTACAAACTTATCTTTTTTAACTATTCTTTTTCGTTTTAGATATAGAATGCAGTTCATAGGATTTGTTGTGGGATTGAGTGCAATTCTTGGTAACATATCCTCTGAGAAAGTATCACCAAAGCCAGGTCTGAAATCCTTCAGGGACGACTATGACAGTGTAGCCAAAACATGCGTGGCTGTTGGATATGTCAAAGACCATTGCAAAAATAACCGAGACAGAAGTACTAGTAAGTAAATAGATATGATTTAAGACGAAACTTTTTTGATTGTGCATTAAACAAAATAAAGTAAAAGTTTTTTAATATGTCTTCTTAGAAAACATGGTTATTGCATTCAACGCTAAAGCCAAAGGAAGTGTCCAGGCAGTAAGTAAAGGGAATATCGTCATGTTTGGAGACGTTGATCTGAATATAGGAGGAGGTTTTAACGCAGTCAGAGGGGATTTCACCGCCCCCAAATCGGGCGTGTACGTGTTTGACTGGACAATATTGACGGAACGAAATAAAGCAGCATACACCGCTCTGTACGTTAAAGGTAAAATAAAGGAGTACAGCCTTTGTCATGATAACAATCTGTCTGTCCATTTAGCATGCAGTAAAATGGCTATCGTCAGAATGCAAAGAGGAGACAAGGCTTTAATAAAATGTTTTGCTGCAACCGCATCTGTAAATGACGTATATTCTTCCTTCTCTGGTTTCATGTTGTAATTAAAAAAAAGGAAATAAAAAAGATGAGATAGTACCACATATTTTCTTGTAAGTCTAATTTATTTGCACTAAATAAAATTTTCAAATGATATCAAGAATGATTGTTAATACATGTATACTTCATCGTAATGATTATGCAGATTATGACGTAATAATATATACTTGACGTACTCATGTAAGGATCCATGTCATACAACAAATATATTAAATCAAACCTGTAGACTTTAATCAAAACTCTTTTTCATATCATTTAGAAAATGAACTGGAAAAAAATCCTGAAAATTTAATAAAGTAAAAAATATTCGCATCCCATAGCCTCAGTACTGAACTATCCCACATTTCAAGGAATAAACGATGTGATTCTAAGCATACAAGTAGATTTATCATTTTATTATATTTTTCTCAGTTGAATTAAAACAGTAATATGCATATGTTGATCAAGTTGTTATAAATCATTTTCGACTTTGTAATGATATTTGTAAGGTTTTCCCAAAGGTCAGGATGTCCAAATTTGTTTTTAATTGATACGCCCTATCTATTAATCAATGTTATCTATAAACTGTAAATGTTTTAACTTTATAAACCACGTAGTTTTGAAACCATTATAAAAATAAATTTTTGGACATGTTGATCTCTTTTTACATTATAAAATGCACTTTCGCTGATAAAAACATATATACCAATTTTTGGAAGTAATTTGCTGAATTTCTTTCAAAATATGAGTAACTTTGATCAAGGTATAATCTAATTTGATTCGAGGTCAAATAGGAAAAATTGCCCGGCCCCAATTATTATTAATTCACAACAAAGTAGTGCAGAAAAAGCAATGTCTCGCCTTTGTTAGTCTGAGACAGCATGACAAATAGTATAAAGCCTACAAAAAATTAAATAATGTAACTAGTTTATGAAAGTTTTAAAAAATCTTTTGTTCTGATAATAATAGCCATGTACGTGTAATTGGATGCCTTACTGCAAAAAAATTACATTAATTATTTGCTGCATTTCCATTGTACGAGGGCCGTTCAAAAATTATGCGGACTATGCAATTATTTACTCTTACAGACGTCATATAGTTATGACATTTCACAGAAATATGTATCTTAAAGATTCCAATAAATTTTAGGAAAAGTTCTGTATTTTAAAGAAATTCTAATATTATAGCTGTGTTGATGCATGCTCTTGCGTATTGAATCAGCTGAGATATAAACACTCTGTTTGCAGGTGATGAAGGTATATTGCTGCATAAATAAGGGAAGTTGACGATAGAAATATTAAAGTCATCACATTCATCGTATAACATATATTATAGTTGGTTGTAAGAGTACCATTAACGTCTTTTTTAAGTAAAATATCAAAGTATGAAACAGATGTATCAGATTCTGTGGTATCTTTTATCCAAAGCTCTCCAGAATTTATCGTATATAGTCAATACAAGTCAACACAAATTTCGGAGCAGAGCAAAAAAGGTCCTTTAATATTTATATAAATCAATATCTGTTACATATTATACCATGAGACATATTCACTCGAACATGCATTTTCAGACACTTTTAAAACTAATTATTTTATTTTATTTTAATTCAAATTAAAAACATTTAATTTAGAATTAAATTTTAAGTACTTTTTGTACTTATTGTTTTCTGTTATAGCAGAACGTATGCTTATTACATGTAGTTATTATGCCTTTATTTTCTAAGAAAGTTTCTACTAAACACACTATGGAAATGAAAAATCACGAATAAACTGTTATTACGTCTACAATTTGAAAAAATGCAATTTTAACTCCGTCATCAAGGATCTTGAATATATTCGGTAATATGTATAATTTAGAAATCTCTACACTATTTTTTTTAAGACTTCCTTGTACAATGTGCATGTATCTTATACCTTTTGTTAGTGGATCAGTGGAATTTACTAATAGGTAATGGCCATGGTATCAAATGATTAAATGATTAATGTAAGTCACCAAATGGCGCATTATTACGCTAAGTATAATATATAAAAAAGATAAAATTTGATGATAAGTCTAACATTTCTGAGAGTACGAGTAAGACAGGTATGAACGTAAAACTTACAGAAACAAAAGTATTTTGATTCTCTGATAATTAGGTAACAGTATATGCCTAAAATATATCAAAGACCAACACAATGGTGTGCATTTAAAATTGATTTTTTTAAATTGCTTTACAATAACTTTAAATGAGCATAAATGCTTAAATTAAATATAACAGGTAAATGAGCTATACATGTATTTTTTTTTAAAGCAAGCAATTTCTTTTTTAATAATGTTAACTACCTTTTTATATTATACACTGGATTGACGACGGACTTTTCCGTTATTTCCCGTTCATAACAATGAGCACACAGTGGGTATAATCGGTCGGCAGGGGCTGTTTTCTCCTCCGTGGCACCTGATCCCACTTCTGATGTTTCAGAGGTCGGCGTTTGTTCTGCACCTATTTTGTATTGTTTTATGGATTTTTGATCTTTTCGTTATCTTCATATGTTTCAATGTGAAAAGTTAAATATATTTTTCTTCACAAATGCAATATTTTATCGAACATAACATTGTTATATAATTTTCCTTTGACACAGGTATTATTTTATAGAGATTATAGCAAAGTGAAGTATCCGTAATATGAGGTCAAATTTTTTTATTCTATATATTATTCTATCCTCTGTTTATAGAAAACTAATATGTTGAAAAACTTGTGGTAAAACTTGAATTTGTCGTCGGATTCAGTGGAAATGTTGTCTTTGTTTCTACTGAGAAAGTGTCTCCTCTTCCCGGTCTTAAAACTTTCCGAGACGATTACGACAGTGTCGCTAAAACGTACCTAGCCCTTAGCTTAGAAGTAAACCATTGTAAAAACAACAGAGACAAAAGTAAGTTTCAAGCATTAAGATCTTAGTAACAATGATATACCATTAACACGCATTTTGTATGATATTTTCGGACTTTTTAATATGTTTTCTTAACATGACATTTGAAGCTGTAGCAAATGGAAGTGTACAGAATGTACGTCAGGGGGAAAATCTTGTATGAAGATGTCATTTGTAACATAGAAAGAGCCTACAACGCAAAAATAGGGGTATCTATAGCTCCAAAGTCGGGGGTGTACATTTTTGATTGAACAACTTTGCCTAAAATAAAAAAAAATCCGCTTACACCTCTTTAGTCACGGAAGGCAAATGAAAGCTTAAGTCTCTCAACTATTGTGGAAGTAATACTTCCGACAAATGGAATTACCTGAGTAGTTTGATTAACAGAAATTTGCTGTCATTTACAACGTCCTGTAGATGTAATCTAAAAATATTGGTCTGAAATTTCCATTAAATTTGTTCCAACGAAGCTATAGGTATGCCTATGCCACCGTGTTGTTATGGACCACAAATTATTTTTGGCATTAAAAACTTTTTTATTTGAACGTTTAAGAGAGAGAGAGAGAGAGAGAGAGAGAGAGAGAGAGAGAGAGAGAGAGAAGGAGAGAGAAGGAGAGAGAGATTTAACTTATGGAGATACCTGTAAAGACGAATAATACCCCCCTCAATAATAGGGGGTCATTTTTGGGCAGCGAAAAATCCCCCGGGCAATTTTGACGTAGAGAAATGACCCTTTTTCCCGTGAAAAATTA